TGGCCGCATACCTGCGCCGCGCAACGCCAAGGGCTAATGAAAGAGACGGACGTGCAGCAGTTGTATGGGAATAAGAAACGTCCGAAGAACTGCCAGAGTTTTGTGTGACGGCTTTAGAAACGGCATCGAAGGGCTCTGGAAAACCGCCCCCGACGCAACGCAGCCAGCAATTGGAAGCCTGAAGGGGCGCGCCACTGCTCGCCGCGCGCCCCCGGTCTTTGGTGCGTCTTTCAATCTGCTACCCCCTTGGGACGTTAGCCCGGGCGAGGATGGCGTCGCAGTTGGCCGGTGCTATCCCTATCCTGGTGGCACATCCGGCACGCTGTGAGTGTGTGGAGAACAAGATGGAGAATCAAAGCCAGCGGCGGGTTGGCAAGGTTCACTGTGAGCAAAAAGAGAGGAGAGGGTCTGACCGGTTTGTGACGCTATTGGTGGCTCGCGCCCTTTCTTCTCTGGGTTGTTGTTCTGGTTTCTGTCTGGTCTCTGCTGCAGGATCAGACTTGCGACTGAAAATGCGATCAGCTTCGGGAACTTGTTGGGACGGGGGATAAATGAGGTGCTACGCGACGCAAGATTTCGGCCCTATCGCCGGATTTATGACTCGCGATGGGGCAAAACTGGGGAAATCGGTGATCGAGTTGCCTCTTTTGAGGGCGACTCTCTGTGTGGCGTGCATTGCGTTGCGTTGCGTCGAGCTGCGTAACGTATGCGTGCGTGCGGGCGAACGACCTCAACTCAGGGCAGCAGGTCCTCCTCTCTTGGTGAAGGGGCCATGCCTCGGACATGAATATTCATCACATATTGGCAACCGGCCGAATCCTTCGGCAGTCTGCCCTGTCTTCGGCCCAAAGACCGAACTCTATCGGATTATTCGCATTGGGAATCCAGGGGTTCTCAGTCTCAGAGCGGATCTCGACCTCGCTCGCGGGCTTGGGTTATGGGTATTCCCATCTTTATTGGATTCTCAAATGCTACGCAGCGGATGGGTAATGGCCTGAGGGCAAAGTCCCCGACTCCAGTCTCCTCGCTCTCTGGGGGGTGGTGTTCTTCCTTGAAGTAGGGGTTCGCCCCTCTCACGGTGTCACAATAATTGATCAGAGAAGGAAATCGTGTTTCCGGATCTTCTGGCGTCTGGGGTGGTTCATCGTATCTAGACCAAGGAGGATCTTAGTCCTGCTTCCTGAGGGTTTTGCGCGTGGGGAACAGGTGGAGGTGCGCAAGATTCCTGTGCCAAGTTTTGCTTTTTCCCGTCACCTGTCAGCTTTTGTCTTCATCGGCTTTCTTAACAGTTGCGCGTCCGCGAGATCCAATCGTCGATTGCCTTTTTTTGTCTTCCTCGTTCAGAATGACGACGAAGGCGCGGCCGTTATGAAGAAACTAGCCAGAGCTAACAGGATTTAGAGAGACGGTTGCGAGATGAGAAGCGTGAGCTAGCTACAATGCCGCGTATTTCCCCTCTCTTCTAGTGATCTTCTAGCGGAGGCGCCGCCATCACCGTCGCACGCCCGCCGACGAATTCACGGGACTTGCAACAGCCCGTAGTTCCTCCGCCGGCGCGCCGGTGTTGTGGAGTTGACTTCTCTCTTTCAGCTTCCACTCTCCTCCTTCCTTCTTCTCGTATGACACAGCGGGCTGCGCTGTGGATTATGCTCCTCCCTTTTCTCCTGTGCTTATTCTCATCGTACCCAATCCCTGCTTCCACATCTCACCGGGACCGGGGTTCCGGCCGGGCAACGTCTGTGAGTTCCAAGGGGGCGCAAAGGGGGGCGCGCGACGACGGAGCCAGGGCACTGAAGCCCCGGCCCTAGGGCCAGCCACGCGGCGGCAGACCTGGGTTCCGTGCCGGCTTGGGGAGGTGATATTGGGGGCCGACATCGTGGAAGGTGCTGTAGCGATATGACCATAGCCATTAGTTCCGGCGATTTGGGCTGAACTGGAGAGCTGGCTTTCTGGAATAGGACTCTGTTTCGCAATCTTCTTTCGGTTCTGTGCGCTTTGGGCGTTTCTTGAATCTTGAGCCGATAAAGATGTCTTGGATTGGGGCAGGACACGGGCTAGGCACCAGATTCGCTCTTGTCGAATCAAACCTCACATGCTGCCGTCTTTCCAGCCTCCATTGCCGTCACAGGCATACCGTTGTCATGTTATGACCTTGACTGGTAGAGTCAGAGCAGTGATTTGTCGAAGCAGTCAGGCAGTCTTGCCCCTCGGACTATGCTCTGCTCTCAGCTCCCAGTCTCAACTTGGTCTCTGCCTGGATGGTTTGGGGCGGCTTGGCGGAAACCCGGGAAATGATCGAGGCAGGCCGCGGCGACGGTTCATGCGCGACACGGACGACCTTGGTCGCGCCCCGATTTTTGCCCATTCCAGCTTTATGCGAGGGAGCATTGCCCCATAACTTTCCTGCTGCAGCTCCACGGTTCTTTTGTTAATGGGTTGCTTACTACGCCTTTGTAAGACTGGAGGCTGTTCATGTCAGAATTTGACAGGAGATCCTTCATGTTTCGTTTTACAATTTTTTTTTCCTTGGTATCCTGGCTGCTGACGTTTGAGAGGTTTGATCCTGCAATTGAGTCTCGGTGCTACCACAGACGGAGGCTCTCGTTCGAACACCGGGTAATCCGGGTAGCCGGGTTTCCATCAGGGACCAGGCAGGCAGGCAGCATTGGAATGGCTCGATGCTGCTCGGCGGAACATAAAATCAATGCCGATGTGCGACTGTGGCGCAGAAGGGGTCCTGTTGGCTTTTGTTCGAGTTCAATCTTGGCTGCAGAATGTGTAAATTACTCGGCCGAATGCCGTCCTACAGCAGTGATCCAATCACCGAGCCGATCAAGGTTGTCCGTACTTGAATCTCGCCTCTTCCAAGGACAACCTCGACACAGCCTCACTCAGCACCCGAGGATCAACCCGTCTGCCTCGAAAATTTTACAGTTTGACATGTCGCGGGAATTTTTGTTTCCTTTGAACCACCGAACTCGAATGAACCGGTGGAAGGTTCAGGCCAACGGAGCTGGCTTCCTCTTGCACGCTGCTGTGACGTTGGTGTGGGCATTAGAGTTTGGGTGTCGATGGACGGTTCCCCGAGATGGGTATGCCTGCAGCGAAATGACTCGGCCACTCCGCGTTTTCTCTCTTGGGTGAGGAAACACACGACCTTTTGTTCTTTTCGGGCAGAAATTTTCTCAACGGGTGGGCTCGAATGCTACCCAAGAGTCCTGAACGGCACAGAACCGCTTCTCTGGAAACTGTGAATGTTGCACTGGACGGCTGTATCTGGCGAGACTGTGGAGAGAAGGAGACAATGATCGCTCTGAAAACTTCAGTGCGCAAGCACATCCCAGGTTTAAGCTTTGCATCTTGGCAGGGGCCCAAACATCGTCGGCATCGCACCGACTGAATGGTTCTTGTGAACCTTCCGAATTGAGATAAGTAGCCGCCATTCTGTTCAAGATAAACTTCGTCCCTGGAATATATTGCGACGATCCCCTGCAGTCGGCAGATATTCAATCTCGGCGGTTGCGAGGTTCATAAAAACACTACGTCCACAATATTTGCATGCCGGTAGTAATCACTGAACAGTCAGTTTAACTTTGTTGGGGGCTGTTTTCGGAGCTTGATCCGTACCGCCATCTGCCGCAGTTTTACTTAGATGGAACTGCCCCTCAAACCCCGTCAATGGTTCACAAGCTTCAAGACTTGGATCTCGTTTTCGCATCATCTGGGTAATAACCTTAACGCTGTGAATGTGGGCTTGGGTTTTGCCAAGCAACTGTATCAAAGCCTGCAAGTAGCCGTGTTGCTTCGAAGTCTTAGACCGGATACGCATCAGCTTCAACTCCCAATTGCCTTTTACCTGCAAATTTGAGTGTCTGAGATTTTCCATCTCTTGTAGTTTCGGAGCGCTGGTCAATGAAAGATGCCGCAGGGAGTCGTGAGGTATATTTAGAGTAAGATTGAGATTAAGTTCGCCACATGGTTGTGCTCAAGAGCACTTCGCAGCCTCGCTAGAACCAAGATGAAGAGCACTTGCCTGTTGCTGTTTGAGGGGAAAGGGTTTGTGTTGCGGGCAACTAACACAGTTTATCGTTTTCCAAAGCTAATACTGTCCTAGTTGTTATCCTCTTATCATCGCTAATGGATGGTTCAGCCTTTCACACGTTTCGTCATATTGGGAGCAAGTTCTCTGTAAGGCTTTGTGATGTATATCACACAGGGTAAGTGCTGAGGCCTCCAAAGTCCGCATGCAATGTGTTTCTGTGGTTCTAATGCTCATACTTCCCTTGGGGCGATAGTGCAAGAAATTCAGACCCAACAAGTGGTCACATTCAACCTGAATTAAGAGCTTTGCTAGCCAGGCAGCGCTGATCAGCTATTCGAGTAGTGTCCCCTGTACCTCTTGAAGCGTACTTGGTACTTCCATAAGGACCATAGTAGCAGAGAAATGATAGGAATAGAGATAATCATCAGGATGATGGACGACGACAACGGCGTTGACAGTGGACGGTAGTAGTACAGGTGATTAGAGGCGATGTACGGATCACACACGTGTTTGGTGAACACTGCCCGGATAGCCACTTGACACTGGCCGGCTAGCAAAACTCAAGAATAAAGCGCTGAGTTACTCCGAAACTTCCCATCTCGTTGATAGTTGAAGGTTTAACACTGTGACATAACTCTAGGTAAGGTCTTTCTTCCCTTCTAACTTTTCCTCTTCGCAGTTTGCCGCCTGGAGGCGCACTTTGTTGACTGCCGTATGACCCTAGGTAAGGTAAGGTAGCCAATCGCAAAGAGGCAAAATGGCAAGAGCGATGAGCATATTTATAGTAGACATAGCTGCAAAGGTGCGAATAGGGCATGGAGTTTAAGACTTCAGATTGACGGGTACCACGTGAACTTTTCTTTTGCGAGTGAGTATTTGTTGATAAGGTGGCCATTTCCAGTTCAAACAGCTCAACTAATTACCGCCCACATTCAAAGTTGTAACAGCATCCAAACTCTCAGCGCACCCTTCTTTGAACGTAAAGAGTCCAAATTCTCATGGCTGTGACGAGTGCCATGACTGACCACCGATCTCCCAATCCACCAGTTGCACCATCCCCCACAAACTCAAATCTGAACGGCTTGTTCCAAGCTAATGCCCACTTGAATCCAGTCATGGCAACGCAATCAGAGCCATTTTGGGTCGTGGTGTCGCGAACAGTTCCTGAGTTGAGACGCACAAGCTTGAAGACCGCCTTGGCGTCTGGCATCTCACTTTTGTCCGCCTTCTGCCATTCGAAGTCCTCGCGTCGAATCGTGCCAGCATGATCCACCTCGATGGAGAAACGGTATCCAAACGTCACTTGATTCTTGAACATTCCCCCGCGCATGATCTCCGTAGCACCATTGAAACTCTGCTCCTGAGGCGCAACGGCTGCGTCGACCGCGTCATTAAGCGGCGGCAGTGTAATGATGCTGCTTGTCGATGTCAAAGTCCAGTTTGGCTCCTCGGCGACCGTAGCTAGGGCAGGGTCTTTATTGCTGGGACCATTATGGAGGATCATGCACGGCTTCCCGTCATATTTGCCACCACCAGAAATGTAATAGGTCGAGAAGGCGTAGAGCTTGTGATTTGTGCTGTCGCCAAGATGTGCGGTCTGGGTGAACTTGATTTGCGAGTACACGCTCAAGGTATTGGGCATTGGGTGATAAAGAGAAAGAGATGGACTGAGGGGAACTTTGGATTTGCTCGTAGCTGGCGAAAAGCTTACTTGGTATGCAGAACTCGATGAAGCCACCGTGGCATCGTTCGATACGTAAGGGGGAGGTGGACTGAGGTCCTCTTGCGTTGTCATGGCACTGACTGCCTTGGCTTCAGCAGCATTTCCCATGTTGGATTGATTCTTCAACCTCTTGTGATAACGGAGAGGGGTTTGACGGGCGAGGCTGGAGGTTCTGATCTCGTTTCTGCTGTCACGTAACAGGGTATTTAATCAAGGCAAGTCCATTGCACCTGTCAAGGATCTTTTGACTCAGTTTCTATTAATATCGTTTGTTGGTGGTTGGTGGTTGGTGTTGGTGCTCGTAAGGGGCACAGCAGATCATGCAAACACACTCCCCTGCATGCTCATCCCAACAGCACTGGGCATCCGGGCTATGACGACGCCAACAGACTTGGCATTGGGGCAGGATTCAGTGTAAAATCAGCTTCAGCTGCATAATTAAATTCAGGTGGCGTGTCGAAATCAGACCGTGCAGTGCCAATCGCCCGCGATCCTGTTGACAGTGTAATCTCAGACTATTACAATGATCAACACAATCAACTTGATTGAACAACCGAAGTTTTCGATGACTTGATGGACCATTGAAAATTCAGTTTGAAAACAAAACCATCTATGTTACGCTTGAATCAAGGCAAACATGGCACAGTGTGTTCGGCAACCACAGTACCTTTACAAGGAGGGCTTTGAATGCTACCAATTAGCTGCGATTGCCACCAGGAGTTTAATACCAAATGGACTTGGGAACCTTTCTACAGCCACTTTTTACTATCCACTAACATAGATGTCCCTCGGGAGGGCTTTTCAGACCTTGGCGTTCCATAACACATAAGCTTCGGATGTCAAAGCTTTGATTTATGAGCTTTATGGACTATCTTCCTCCTTATTTCACCTTTACCGCTGGGTGAATGAAAAAGCGCTCCTTGCCTTTACGAAAAAAAGTAAAGAGAAAGCAGCAAAGATGGATTTCATCAGCGCAAACGACTTCAAACCCGCAATATTGTTTGTGGCTTCTGCTACGTTGACTACGTTTACTCTTCATCTTCCTTCACAATTTCACTCGTGGCTCTTTCTTCCAGCATGGCTGCTCACTGCCTTGTCCTTGGCCTCCGTCAAGGAAGACATGACACCGAGCGGGCCTGTAGGACTTAACTCGTACACCGTCATATCCTGCTTTATTTTCATGCTCATTTTACCTACGATTCTCCTATTCGAAAATCATTCTTTGGCGCCACGCCCGGATCAAAAGACCGGTCAGCGTGACAGGGCCAGTCTGTTGTCCTGGCCGAGTCGGCGCAGTGTCGCTGCTGCCTGTCGCATTTGGAACAACCCCCGAAACCTACAATTCCGTAAACCCGGCCCAGCTTCTGCTTCGTGGAATGCTTTGATTCGATTCCTCTTCCGCCGCGGGTCAAGGGTCGCGGTTGGTTTCCTCGTCGACAAATTGGTCTTCCAGCGCATCCAGAGACAACTTTTAGCCGCCAGTAGTCTACTCGATTTCACGCCAGACCAACAGCAAATCATCAGGCCAATCTTCAGTCATTTGTTTTCTGATGGTATCGAAAGCCCATACGGCTCCATCTCTTCACATCGCCTCGCACTTCGCGCCTTCACGTCGGTGTCGTGGATATGGACCAACTTCCTCGTTCTGGAGTCTTATCACTTTCTCTTGGCAATCATCTTCGTGATGATACTTCGTCTGGACGATCCAGAAGACTGGCCTCCTCTTTTTGGCAGTATTGCTGATGCATGGACTCTCCAGCGCTTCTGGGGTCGCTTTTGGCACCGCGTTGCAACACCAACGCTCAAAACTTGGACGAGATTTCTCTTGCGAGGAGTAGAGACAAGGGCTTTGGAAAAGGTGCTACAAGCATTTGGTGTATTTTTTCTCTCTGGGTTGATGCACGCAACAGCATCGTGGAGAACCGGTCAACACTTCGAACATTTAGACGTGTGGTTTTTTTCCGTGAATTTCGTCGCAATTGGAGCTGAAATCACTGTCATCAAATCTCTCTCCTGGGGTCTCAGGGGCACAAAAGCCGCGCTCCTGGTTGAGAAGAGCTGGCCAATTCGCATCATGTGTAAAGCTTTCGGGTTTATGTGGGTTTTCGCGTGGTTCTTTTGGGCAGTACCAAGATGGGTTTATCCAAAGACTATGCGATGGGCAATCAAGCAAGCTTTGATTCAATCGTATGCCTCTTAGTGAAAATTCCTCACTGCTCAATGATCATATGACATCGTAATTGATTTTGAGCATTCATTTTGAGCATATGTTGCTATTTATTATACCATTGTCTTGATCGTGATTAGCAGGTCAAACATAAAGGATCTATGGATGAATTAATCCACGTCATTTGTTGGAGCAGACACTATGAGTGTATCCGGCTTTCCATCTATAATAAACTCTTTCCAGCAGATTTGTCGCGCTGTTGTTGTTATGTCATCAACTTCTAGACGAACTTGTGCGAACAAGAACGACTTCGCTTTTCGTCAAAACATACTTATTGCCTCCTCAGACGATCTCCAATCAATCTCAGCCTTGCCAATCTACCGTACCGCATTCTTGAGTTATTTCATGTTATTGTCAGGAGTCAAGGGGCTACAGAGTGGGGTCACTGATTGGGTTGGTGATCAGCCCGCTCATTTACAAGGAGGCTGTGGCGCATGTTATACACACCTTATCTATATAAGAGCGGGTAGGATGCTAAGCTTTCTAATAGGCGTAGAGGTTTCTCTATGAAGCCTAGACCATCCTGACCCTTGAATATCTCCCCGTGAGAGTCATACGGCAGTCACCAAGGTGCGCCTCCAGGCGGCAAACTGCGAAGAACAAAAGTTAGAAGGGAAGAAAGAGGTTATACACACCAGACTGCAGCTGAGACGTTGCGGGGTTTGCTGAGCTAACATTAACCTCTTAGTACGGCAGCAATATGCCGTATAAACATTAGCAGCCAAGGAAAAAAAAAAAGGAAAAAGAAAAAAGAAAAGAAAAAGTAAAAAAAAAAAGAAAAAGGAAAACATCGTCGAGCCAAATGAGTTTGCCATTCCTACTAGCTCATAGGTTGATTTTGGTGCGTCGTTTAACGAATGTTTTCCTGGGCAGAAGACTTGGATCACGGCGTTAGAATATTTTCAAATGGAAACTGTAGAAGATTTGCGAGCCAAGGCGAGTGAATTTGAGACTTTAACTTACAGCAGACAAACCTTGTCCCACACCGAATAAAATGATGCCAGGAGGTCCTCAGCTATCAACTATCTTGGCCTTAGAAACATCCACACCGGCAAGGCCCACTACATAGGCAGGCAACACCGACTATCTTGACTGCAGAAAATTCAGCTCCCGTATCCACAAGGTGAGGCCACCCAACTATCACGACCTGTCAGCCTAACGAGACATTCAAAGGTTCAAAAACGGATACTATTTGGTATTTCTGGGTCCCTTTTCGGCTCGGCTTGAGTGGACGGTCTGTCGTACGTCGTCAATCTCACCTGTTAGAGTGGGTTTGGATGGCTTGTGCCACGACTTCCAACACATCTTGGGGTCTCAAAGCACTGCCCATGAACTCAAAAAGGTTTTCAAAGCGAGATATTAATCGTACGAGTATCGTCGGGGCTTATCGCCGAGCCCTCCTGAGCACCGTGACGGCCCCAAGGACTCTGTATTCGTGAAACCCTGCGCGTGAGTTAGTAGACGGTGCTACGAACCTTCGTGACCCATCGTGGAAATCCCATGACGGTTGGAAGCTTGCTGATAGAGGAAGTCTGACATTATGATAGGAAGCAAAGTCCGTTCTCCAACATAACCTTCTTCCCTTCTAACTTTTCCTTCGCAACTTGCCGCCTGGAGGCGCACCTTTTAAACTGCCGTATGACTCTGACCCAGAAATATGTGGAGGGTCACAGCGTAACCTCTGTAGTTAACCCATGGGGTATATGAAGGGGGGTTTCGAGCCGCCTTCAGCCCAAATTTGAATTCCTAGTGCTCAACAAACATCCATTGAATTGCAACAAACACAGAAACATTCTCAATCCCACCACCAATATCGATTGAAGACCAAACATAACTATTGGTCAATTCCTTGCCCGAAGACAACCCTCAATTCTTCTTCCCTTCCGCAATACCACCACACTAGGTTTATCATGCCTTTTCCTGCGCTCGTTACAGGCTTTAGTGTCTGGGCTTCTGGATCTATGACTTCCGGGGGCGTCTCTGGAGTCGTGTCCAGCGCAGTCAATGTAGGCATCGGCTGTACTACAAAGTCCGACTGCAAGCGCCAGGAGGATGCTATTCGCTATGCACAAAATATGGCGCATGAGATCGCCGCAGAAGTTGCGGCGGAGAAGCAACAAGACGGCCCCGGCGCAGCTCCTGTTGGTGTCCCTCAGCACATCTGGGACGACTGCTACATTGAAGCTCTTGGCTCTCACATCACAATCACCGGTCCCATCGGCGACAATCACATCCGTGCTGAAGGAATGCCACCCACTTGCATGACCCTCGCCAGGGTTGTTGGGGATACCGCTGGTCAGGCCATTCCCATTCCCTGCGGCTCGGCCTGCATGGAATGGACGAACATGACGCCCGAATATTACGAGTTCGTGCGTGGCATGCTCAATTCCCAGGTTCTCAGCGCCTGAAAACATTTTTGATGAACGAGTTCTCTTCAACTTCTCTTGTGGTCATCCAGCTAGCACCACCAAACCTGGTGACCAAAGTCAATAAGAGGACAATATGGGGGACGCAGGCTGGAGCCGTTTATCTCGGTCTTTACTTATTCTTTCAACTTGCCGGGTATTGGTCTCTCTTAGGCTGGATCTGTACCTTATGTAGGGGCACATGTAAGGTTTGATGAGATCTTTGTAGAAACGTCTCATTGAATCTTATAGATAAGATGTAGATTTCGGGATGAATAGACGCTGTTTTCTTCACAACCAATTTGAAGCATTCAATGTTCCTCTTTACGTGAACTGTCAAGACGAAAAGTGCTGAGACGGGCTGTTAAACAGGATGAAAACTTGCCTCATTACAAGTTGTTCGATCAGCACGGAATTACACACTATAGAATCTCTTACGACAGGAGCAAGATTAAAGATATTTACGATATATCGCGTCGCGGCGATTGGTAGGACACGTAGCGGAGACACGGACAGTCCATTGCCGGACCTCGCAGTACTGGGCGCTCCAGATGTGACGAACGCAATAAATATGGAAGAGACACAGTTCCAACAGAGCACAGCTTATTGATGTATTGTGGCTGTTTGTGAAGCAGACTAGACGAGCTAGCTTGTGAAAGAAGATCTATAATTCACAACAGAAAGAGCACAGTGAGAGGCAGTACTAGATACCAAAAAGTGTCGGTCGATTTGGCTGGTTTGAAGCGCACACACAACTTGGATATTCCAAACTTCGCCTCACTACAAGCCCGTCTGGGTGGCACCAGGTGCTTGAAGTGGGCTGATTGTTAAGACGACTGTAACCCCAACTAAAGCCTGTGAGCTATCGATAGTGCCGAGGGATGAGCTACCACTGGGTAACGTAGATGCTGATGAATCTGGTCCCGTGGTCGGTGACACGGAAGCCCCTCCAATGCTGATGTCGAAGATGGTGCTGGCGGTGGTAACTCGAGGTGTTGGTGGCGAACCGCCGGGGGAACTTGTCGTTGCAGAATCTGTGGTAGAGCTTGTCGTAGAACCAAGCATAGTACCAGGACCAGAATCAGAAGAAGATCCCACAGGACTGATGGCGGAGCTAGTAGGCGTTACCAAGCTCGAGCTGGACGGTATCGTGAGTGCGGTCGGAGACACCACACTCGATGAGGCTGTGCTCTGGAAGCCTCCATCACTTGTCGACGCGCTTTGTGCTACTGCAGTATTGCCCGTCATCGGTATCGTCATTGAAGTCGAGGAAGAGTTGGTCAGCTGGAAAGTGGTTGCCCGCGAGGTGGAATCGCTTGAAGACAGGACCAACGTAGTGCCGGATAATATCGGATTTTGAGAACCGGCAGATGTACCGGGAAACATCTGTGACAGCGATGCCGACGAACCCGTTGTGCTGAAGCTGGGTATAGGAGACGATGCGGAGGATGATAGGCTTATGGTGACCGATGAACCAAATAAGGGAGACGTCGAGGTACTGGAAGACATGACTGCGGGTGATCTAACACCGTAAACCACGACGTATTGCGCCTGGCAACTAAGACTAAAATTGCAGCCGCAAGGTGATGTTGAGTCTGATCTGCAGGGATATCTGTTGCAATTCTCATCGTTGGTAGCTGGTCCACGCGGAGCAACCATATTGCGTAAAGGAGCACAATAGCAGGCCGTGCCAACCAGATACACGAAGAGAGCACTGAGGTCAGCGCAACGAGCTTGACATCTCACTGGATCCCCAACAATGCCATCTTGGTATATGTATGTTGATCCCGCGAGGCCCTCGTCTGTGTAGCATCCAATATATGAGTACGGTGATACAGGATTCGGTGATATGCCAGTCCTTTGCAGCGAGGCTGAAGATGAGGCCGAAGATGAGGTCGTGCTAATAGATGGTATCAAAGTTTGCGTCGCGACTCTCAGACCGACTGCAGGTCGGACTAAACAGCACAGGGCTGCCAAGAGGGGACCCCACCACAAGCCCATGATGTTAAGTGATCAGAAAAGATTTGACATAAAGATGTGATTCGAGAACAAGCACCCTATCAAAAACTCAAAGATGGTCTAAAGAATCGTTGTATGGTGTCTGGGAGGTTTATCTGTCGCGATACAAGGGCCTGTGGAAGAGGTTATGTGGGAAACAGTTATAGATGAAGGCACAATTAAAATAAGCTGGGGGGCTGCGTCCCCTACTTCTCCTTGAGGATCTTAAGTTCTAGCTCTAGATGAACGAGCTTCTTCTCACGACATAATCTCCACGTCGCATTCCGAGTTCGCCAGGCTGGGAATCGAGAATCGACAAAAAAAAACGTAAAAAATCAACAGCGCCACGAGTTTAAGACCAGCTGAACCAAAACTGTTAGATTATCATCATTATACGTGAGCCTTGGCAGTCTAATACCGGTTGTTCCAAATGCCTCCCTCCACTCCAGTAGTTGCAGCCTGCATTCGCCGCGGCCCGAGGGTTCGGTTCGTGGGCCGAATCCGGTACACGGTAATCTACGAACATTCCATTCCAAAATACTGCCTCCCAAGGGGCGGAAAGATTCACTGACCGCTTCCAGGCTTCACTGACTGGGGATCGTCTCAAAAAGCAAACAGGTTCCCTCTTCTTCTGCAATACAGGTGAGCCCCTCATTCTACGTGAACCAGATTCCAGCGAGGTTTTCGCACTTTCTTTTGCGGAACCATTATGTGGTAATTGAAGACATTTCGCATTGCAAGATTTTCAACTTCCAAAAGCCACTAGAATCAGGCGCTCATCGCCCGAGTCGGATTGGGAGGTACAGGAACAGGCGGTAAGATCGAAAGAACGACCGGAATCCCGACCAGCCCCCCCGTCGACGCAAGAGTTGGCCTGGATGAAGACGACAAGCTTGTCGTGGATCGTGTCGTCGTAGATGTCGTCCTCGAGGGACTGCTAGAGCTCGCGGCTGGTAGCGTTGATGGCTTGGTTGAAGAAGTTGACGTGGTTGACGACCTGAGCGAAGAACTTGGTATGGCTGACGTTGCTGGGGTAGCTAGGTTCGGGGGTAGGCTTCGAGAAGTGCTCTGGTCATTAATGCCCGGTATGACGATCGGTGCTGCTCTCGGGGTTGAGACTGTAGACGACGAATTTGTGAATCGCAACGAAGAGGACCCAGCAGGTATGTTACTGGGTGTCGTTGTGGTTCGGGGCACCGAGAGGCCTGCAATACTTGTCGAAGACGTAGTCAACCGAGTGGTCAAAGACGTAGCCAATCGAGCAGTTGAAGTGCTTGAGATGGATGACCCTGGCAAAACCTGCACAACTGGGTATCCATACACCGAGAACTTTGTCCCAGCATTGCGCCCGCCGCAACGGGCGGTACGATTCCCTTCGCACACGATCGTGCAGAGGCTTTCATCGACAAGGAGGGATCGTGGCGGGGCCATAAAGCCACCCGTCTGGCAGAGACAGGAAATCGAAAACATCAGCAAGAATGGCGCTGCTAGCCGGGCGCAGGCGGCTTGACATGCAGCTGGATCGCCACCAGCAGAGTTGACTCCTACGTAACGGCCTTGATACTGAAGGTCGTTGTCATAGCAGCCGAGGTAAGAGTACGGGCTCGCAGAAGACGGTAAGGTGTTGGCGGTTGTTCTCGTGGATGAGGACGTTGAGGACCTCACTGTTGTGGTGGATGTAGACGTTGAGGACCTTGAAGCCAGAATCATGCTGTTTGGGCTCGTAGAAGAGATCGAGGTTCTAGAAATGGCCGGGCTTTGGACAGATGAAGAGGCTGCCGAAGACCTCGATATCGTAGAGATGCTCAAGCTCCCAGGTGCTATCAATGATGTCGGGACTGGGCCTGGGGTGAACATGATAGGTCCTCGCGTAGAGACACCAGCCGAGGATAGAGCCGATGCTGATGTACTTGCCAAAGACCCTTCCGGGAGATAATCTCCGTACAAAACAGAATAGAAAGTATTATCCTCGAAGTTTCTTCGGCCGCAAGGGGAAGCGGGGTTGTTCAGGCAGGGCCCAGCGCAGAAAGAGTCGTCGACCGGAGGGTTGTTTATGCGGAGATATTGGGGATTTCCACAGTAACATACTGTTCCCACCAAAGTGACAAAGTGAGATCGCAAACGATCCAAGCATCTTGCTTGACACGCAGCTGGGTTGCCGAGGATGTCGCTTTGCAACGTGAACACGTCCGTGTTACAAATACTTAGCATGTAATAGCATCCGACGTAGTTGTATGGAGGCAAAGGGTCTGGGAACAAAGATGCCGAAGGCGACGCAGATGACATTGAAGTTCTGGTAGAGGTGAGTCGCGATGCCGTGAGGGGCAATGTATTTGACGACGAGACACCTGGCTGTCTACCACCGTACACGGTGTAGAACAGCCCCGAGGCTGAGCCACCGCAGGGAGAGCCAGGGCTATTGCGGCAGGCAATGCTGCACTCTGAATCAGCTGCAGGAAGACCTGGTGGTGCGTTGATGCCAGCACTCGCAGGCTGGCAATAACACGAGTCAAATAGCATCATCAGGAACGGCGACCCGGCAGCATCGCACGCAGCCTGGCACGCTACCGGATCACCGACTGCAGTGCCTTGGAATTGCCAAATTGCACCCGACTGGACGCTCACGAAGGAGTAGCATCCTAGATACGAGTATGGCGGCCGCGGCAAGGGGGTGAGAGACCTGCTTTGAGGCGTTGATGATGTCGACGTTGAGGCAATCGTGCGGATACTCGACGATGTGACGGCTGTAGACCGTGTGCTGCTAGTCGGAGACACGCGTGGGCTGAAGGACGCTCTGGGGCCGTACTTCCCGTACACCGTGACATACCTCCCAGCATCCGTATTGGACAATGTGCCACACGGGGCGTTGGGGTCCACGAAGCACGGCGTGGTGCAAAGGGAATTGTCGACCGGAGCGCCACCCGGCTGGTGGATGTCGAACTCGAACTCGCGGACCTGGCAGTAGCAGTATGTGCCGTACATGAAGACGTAAGGCGCATGAAATTGCTGATCACAGCCGATTTGGCAGTCGACTGGGTTGCCATTATTGTAGCCCGTGGCGATGTTCGGTATGTCGTATGCCCCGATGGCGGTTTCGGCAGTGTAAGGATAGCATCCCAGATAGTAGTACGGTGATTGTTCCACTGGCGTGAGGATGGTCGTGCTGGTGATGGCGATTGTGCTGGTGAGAAGCGCCCCAAGGGAGAGAAGTACTGATACGCGCATGTTTGGGAACGAGTTGGGGATCTTCTGGGGGATTAAACGCGATTACTCCAGGTTGGCGATCTCTGCAGCTGTGGCCGAACGAATGGCGCAAGTAAACGATGCATAAAAGTCCGCTTCAATCCAAGAACGACTTGGCACCTTTGAAAAGGATCATGGGTGGTCGCACATGATAAAGGCAAAGGCGGGGGCTCAATACGCTATCTGATGCTGCTGTTGATGTCTCGATTTGGTATGCTTGGCGTACAGTTTTAATCGTTAAGTCAGGGTCCAGATCTGCTAATATCTCCAATCTACCGGCGTTCTCCAGGGCTGAAGGAAGCTGGGGAATGGACATCAATTGCAGGGCTGAACCGCGACGAATCACCGCTCAAGATATGGCTCATGTTTGAGACACTAGACCCCGAAGATCAATGTAAGTTGCTCACCAGAGTGCCTGAAGGATGCCTAAATCGTAGCAGTTGCAAACTTTCCCAAGCCTCTAGTTTCTCCGGCTATCCCTAAAAATGTCGTATGGCTTGATCTTGCCATAAACATTTGTTCCTAGATAGAAGGTAGAGTGACCGTTTGTTAGAAGACTGGTGTTTCCGGACAATAGCTTAACTTTGCATCGACGCCAGGCCATACGCCTTTGGGAGGGATTTTTGTACCAGTACAACCTTGAAATAAGACAGCTCCCTCCTTGATCGTCTTATTTGAACGACGAGATTGAGCGATGAGAACTAGAAGCCTGTTAACACGGCAGTGCTCAAGAGGAACAATGGCTTGCCGTATGTTTTGCGACACCCGAGGTCCTCCGCTCAAATCTTGCGACGGTAGCTTCCACTTTAGTATCTCTACTGTCCTTCTCTCCTATTATTTGTTCGAATGGTTGGATTCATTTGAATCGCAAGCCTTCAGCTCGGATTCATACTAGATTTCCGCGAAACACACTTAGGGATACGCCATGTCATTCATGACTTAAGCATTCCCCCTGTCCTTTCGCCACTAACTACCGTAGCTGATATGCGCAAACATTCCCGATGGTCAAAAACACCGTAAGTGAGTGAACACGTTTTAGTTTATAAAGCACGAAACCTGGACAATTTCGGCACAAACAAGGAGTTTCGTTGTCACAACACTGGCCACAATACCTCGTGCCCCGAACAGCTGGTTCTGGCTGTGTTTTCTAACTCCTATCTCATACCTTATCCTGATTCATGCTATATAAACACTGTATAGTGACCCAGAAAAGTCTTCTTTGTCCAAAATAAGAAATCTGGCTTTGATCAAATGCCAATAAGTCTGAGATCCCGAAGCCCGCTGTCAAAATTCTCATCAACGTTGCCACACATCAACAACTAGCGACGGATGTCAGAAATGCTATCGCACATTGAGGCGGAATACTTGGGAGACTTGGAGGAAAAATGACAGGCGGCGACGCCGAAGTCAAGAACGCCCAAAGTACAAAATTGCTTCGGGCGAGTGCCAGGGTCTCAGCGACAATGACGGCTGGTAGGAAGAGGGCTCCCAGAACACTGGCACTGTAGATGTCATGGCAATTCTGCACGCGGTGAACATCTGATTGATCAGAGAAGAGACCTTTGATACGTGTACGTCCAAATAAGTAGCCTCAAAGGCAGTTCAATGCATCTTCGTGCATAATGACTGCCTCAACAACGCGCCTCATAACTCAACGTTTCACAAGTGCTCAGTAACGGCTCTCCAAACAGTACAAGCCTATAAACTCATACCAAAAGAGAAGAAAATAAGAGCCAAAGCAACCAATTCTGATCGGAAGCATTATTTCTTTGTGACTTGATACCGGCAATAATTCCATAATACACATAGCTCCAGCCATGCTAGACCTCACGTTTACACATTGAATGCGCGTGGCGCTTTTCTCCCTCGCTAGCTTTCCGTCGTCCGGCTTCTCCATCGCGCGAGTAAGAAACTCGTATTCAGCCAGACGTCATGCGCCCTTGATATCAACTTTTTGCTCGGTATCTAGCTCCTCTCCGGTGTTGAGGCTCGGTGAGCTTAGTCGCTCCGACATTCAAGCCCCGGAGATGTAGTGTCACCTAACATCACCAGAGTGCGATTACCCGCCAACAAAACTCCATAGTAAGATGCCTTTTAATAGTTGAGCGTCTAAACAGGAGCTCAGCCCGCAAAAGTCACGACTCGGTGTCGTCTCTCCAAGCCAGACTACGTGCCCCCGACCGAGTGTGCCTACGCGGATTCCTCAGAAGAAGGCAGACGCCATCGGGCTTCTATTTATAAGAGCACATCTGGAGCAGCGAGAAAGATTTCTACAACCATTACACTGTCTCTTCTTATGGCCTTTGAAACTTTGAAGATATCTGAAAAACGTATTCGTACTCAGAAATCCCGTATCCGCGACTAGCATCTCCAACCCAGAACCCCATCTCCGTTCCTCATCACCATCACCCGTCCTCGTTCCCAACGTATTCAACCCATTAAGCCAGAACACTCATCTTTTAGATGTATATGGAATCAGAAAATGGCGTTCGCTCATACCGACTCTGGACAGTATGCAAATTCCCCTCGCTAGACTCGACCAGATCCCAATATCGCACACCCCCGATGTTGGTCCCTCTTCTCAATCGCTATTCCGCTAAACCACAAGTCTTAACAGAACGATATCCAACTAAACTTCCCTCCATTGAAAAAATTCGATTATCATAGCATATATGTGGCACCTGCATCGTCTCCTCCGGGCATGGACAGACGATGTCGCCAGAAAAACGTCGTCGGGGAGTCAAGCAAAAAGCACAGCATACCCGGCCGTTGAAGTCAGCATAAGTTTCCCAACTTTCCCAATTGTACCTGTACCACTGTTCACTTTACCTGCCCCGCCGTCACCCAACATCCTACCTTGGTCTTTTTGGCGTATTCGAACGAAAGTAATCTAGTAGCCACAGGCACCTTGCATGTTTCGTTTCATTGCCGCTCATATTGCTCTTTATGTGCATCGACCCAGAATGAAGCGCACTATGAACGCCAAGATTGGTTCAGAGAGGCCACCCATCTCATCACTGTTGCGTCACACAAATGAACCAGATACCAGAACAAGAAAGTAGTTGTATTATTCAGTTCTAGCAGGGCATATTCTTTCACAAAGACATCTAGTCTATGCCAATGCCTCTAAACTCCCTGCTAAAGTATTCCTCAAGAACCCATGACAAAGGGGATATCAGGCCTGTCCTCCCAAAATGGCCTAGGCGGTATATTTGTGCTGGTTATGATTCAGCACAATGAGCAAATAAAAAACTGTGTGAAGCGACTTTTGCGCGTGAAGCTAATAAGACGATTATGCAGAAGAGTCTACTCAATCCTCTTCTTGCCCTCCTCAGCGTTAGAGTATCTTGCCGTGCTGAGGCCACGCTCATGGCGGGCAACAAAGGATCCCAGGACTGAGTCCTTGCGAGCCTTGGACATGTGTTCGTTGTAGCCTTCAAAGGCCCAGGGTCTGGGGTTCAGCTTGGGCCAGTTTACCTAGGCTCTGTTAGTGATGATCATCTCCTCACAAGTAGGGGACTTACGTAGAGCATGCCGTGGCCAAAGATGAAGCTCGAACACCAAGCAGCAACCGCTAGCCAGAAGAAGATGAAGATGCGCATGGTAACGGTAGCCTCAGTCTTGGTGAAGAGACCAACGAAGATGAGGAAGAGACTGAAGGCCAGAAGGTAGGGTACGGATTGGATGAGAATGGGGCGGCGGTCAGCGAAGATGAGGGAGCTGCCGATGTTGGCGGTGCCTGGCAAGTAGACCCCGAGAAAGAGATCAAACGAATCTTGACGGGGGCCGTCGAGGAAGTTGTTCTTGAAGTAGCGGGTGACACCGATACGGGCATCCTGAAGAGCACCCATCTTTGTGCGGACGCCAGTACGAGTGACGTCTGTCTTCATGGCACCAGTGCCAGAGTAGGAGTTCGAAACGACATCGGCGTTGTCGGCCCAGAGGTTGCGGAACATGTGCTCGAAAGCCGGGTCCTCATCGCGGAATGAGGAGCCACGGCTCATGAGACCCATCTCCTCAAAGATGCGGTCAAGCATGTGGCGGGCGAACATGGACTGAACGACGTTGGTGCGGTCGAGGCAGTCCATGCAGTTGGTGCGCATGACGCTGGTCTGGTAGCTGCGGGGCTCAAGACGGCCATCGTTGGCACCGGGCATGTCGACAGCGCGGAAGTAGCCCTGGGCATCAAGTGCCTCCTTGAGCTTCTCAATGAGAGCATAGGCACGGTGCATCTTCATGCCCTTGGTCTCGTGGTGGTAGTCGAAGTAGATGTAGTGAAGACGATCGAATTCGACGGCGCGCTTCTCAGGCTGGATCGTCGTGAACTTTTCGTTGGTGTGGCTATCGCCTTCGGTGCGCTCCTTGGGGGTTGAAATGAGCTTCTCGACCATCTGTTCGTATGAGTTCTTGACACGCTGCTCGCGGCCCTTCTGGTTGACCAGGTTGATAAGGTAGTTGTCGCCGTACAGGCGGATCTGCTCCTCAAAGTGTGCCTTGGCCGCAGGGAGGGCGCTGTCGATGCCGCGGACCTGCAGCTTCGGAACGTAGCGCAAGCTGTTGATCTCGGCCCAGTAGGTGGGGACACTGCCGCGAGTCTGGACGTAGGACATTATTTGCGTATCCTGGCCGCTGGCGCCGTACTTGCCACTCTGCATATCGGCGCTGCCAGCAAAACCTCCCATACCGCTGCCCGAATCATTGAAGATGGTGATCTGCTCGGTCTCGTTATAGTTGGCGGCATGGCCTTCGTCGTCGACACCTCGGGTGAAGTATCTGGTTCCGCCGCGGTGTCTCGATCTGCGCGAGATGAGGGTGACAGTGACTGGCGTTCCCTTGAAGGTCGTAGGCTTGATCTCGAGCATGCCGAAAATGACGGGGAGGATGAAGGGGTCGGCGCCGGCCTGGGGCCCTGCTTGACCTCTGGCGCCGCGGGTGCGGAAGTCGATTAGGTCGGACTGGAGGAAGCGGTTGAAGAAGAAGCG